ATCGGCCTCCGCGTTCGGCAGCGTTCGACATCTGTCTCTCTCCTACTTGAGTGAGCGATGCGTCCGCGTGGACAGCTGCTATACAATAATACATTTCCATTTACCTCCTTCTCTATATCCATACAAAATATCTATCAAATAAAATTAAAATTTTCTTTTGAAAAATGAAACCATTCCATCACTATTTTCTTATGACGTTGTCACGTTCAACTATCGCCAGTAAACCGATTTTTTCATTAGAATGTATGCAACTAAATGTACACTTAATTACAGACATTTAGCTCATTACCCAGGTTTAATCATGTTACTATTCATTTACGGCTGCTGTGGGACCCGTATTTTTTTGGTTATTAATTTGACTTGAACTTTATGTTATGGCCTATGTGATAAACCTAGTTGTATTTTACCATAATTGCGTAAACTCATAGATGTAATAGGCATTATCCACTACTTTCATAATATTTTACATGCCTATATGATAAATAAATAAATAGTAGAAAAACAGAGGTCTGTTGGTGTCGATTCGCACTCATATGAATATGAAGATGAAGTTTTTATTAGCTGTGAACTATATAAGTGCTTGTTTTAAGTGTATGTGAATGTACAGGGTGTTCTAGTAGAATGTTCGTGATTGAAAGCGGTAAGCATCGTTTAGAAGAGTCTCAGCTTAATAGGCCATCATGCAATTCTAAAATTACTCACAGCATCATTGCTAGTGTTGAAACATGTGAGTCTTAAGTTTCGGAACCAGGGTAGGAGTCCATAACTAGTTTCGGGAAATGATGTTAGACTTTTTCTTCTAGTAGACACCCGGCCAATCCCCTAAAAGTGCTCTAAAAATGAGATTTCTTTTCATTGTTAAAAGACAAGTCATCTTGCACGGAGGAAGATACAAGTTATTTGTTTATAAGAACGTTTATTAAATGTGACGCGTGAAATACTGAGTAGTAGCAATAAATATCCTCTAGATGGCGACATACTGTCTATATATAAAGTTTTTTATTCGACTTTAGTAGACATTTTTAAAGCTTGATAGTATATGTCGTATGTCTATAATTAAAACTGCAGTATCTAATTTCAATTTATTTATCCTTTTTTAAGGTCTTTTAGGTAATCTCTAGAAAATGTATGACACTGATAAATTCATAAATGAAATGTAGCATGTTAGAGTGGATGTATTTATGTAAACATTTGCAGTTGATTATTGAAGTCCGTATTTTTGTTCCTTTGTTGCCGAAAATAAACTTACACAGTTTATTTTTACTTCAAAATAACTACTCTCTATGTTTTATAACAAAAATAGCAACAGATTAGATAAATTTTGGTGTAGGATGATTGTAATTTAAAAAGAACTGTTCATAAACATTTCCCTTTTTCATAACAGCGGTAACTAATTACAAAATATTATCCAGATGTAGTCAACGTAAGCAAACACTCACTACAGTATGTCGGCATACAATCTGTTTCTACAGATTCTACTTATGTACACTGTATGCTGGTACTTATTTTTAAGTAGAATTAATTTTTATTATTACAGATAAAGTCAAATTAATGAGGAAAAATTATTGCAGCTGTCATGCCCTCGTCGAGAATCGAACCCGGGTTCTTGATTTCACGCACCATAGCTTTACTATTAAGCCACGAGACGACCAACAACAACGACGGTTTTGCTTGACTATATACGTAGGTCATGGAATCGTCGAACCAATAGATAATGATTATTAACAATGAATCATTTTGGAAAAAATTTTGTAGTTAAGTACATTAAAGTGAATTAATATTTACCAGTTCAGTAAACTCCAAATTAATAAGTAAAAATTGTTCGTCCTCGCCGGGGATCGAACACGGGTCCCTAGGTTTACGCACCATTGCTGTGTCACTAAGCTACGAGATGTGACAGCAACAACAATTATTACTCATTAATTTGAAATTATATGTAGTGATAAAAATTAATTCATTTTATTGTACTGAAAACGCTAAAAAAATCTACTAAAATGTCTGATTGTTAATAATGATTGTACATTGATTCGACAATTCTGTGACCTACGTAGTTAGGCAAAATTGTGGTTACTGCTATCACCTCTCATTGCTTAGTGGTAGACCAACGGTGCGTAAAGCCAGGCAACCGAGTTCGAATCCCGGCGAGGGAGTTAACAGTAGCAACAATTTTTTCCTCATTATTTTGAGGTTATCTGTAGTGGTGAAAATTAATTGAAAAATTCCTCTAAAACTTATTTCTGCTTTAAATTCTAAGCAATTTTTCTGCATAAAGTACCTAATAAGGGTAACTATTAATTTATTATCATAATCTTCTACAACTTTCCACTTTAGTAATGGTTTTTAAACTTGGATTTTACAAAAAAGGACCTAATAAAAGCAGTCCAAAGATATTTTAACTTTAAAAATGAAAATAAAATGAATAAGCGTGTTGTGGTGTCTATTTCCAATAAGCTATCTTGAAATATCGTGACTACAAGGAAAGCTATATTAGTCGAGGAAATAAATTAGGTAGGTTCAGAATTTGGAAGGATTGGACTTAAATTAGGTATATTCAATAATTATTTTTAAACTGAGCATGTACATGAGGTAGTTTTTTGTTCTTATATAGATACTACATACGAAACATTATACTTTCTAATTTTTAAATAGTACGTATTCAAGTAAGTATCAATACCTCTCTATGGTTCATTATTTTTAATTTTGATATCGGCTATAATAATACAACAAAACAGTTAGGATTTGTTAATACCAAAAAAGAGCAGACTATATTATACTAGAAACCGCTTAATTGTTTACTAATTTCAGTCAATTCATGATGTGACTGGTGTTGTCTGCTTTTTAGTTGAAACCCTAAAATCACCTACGGTTTTCATAATTGCCGACGTTTAATGAAAAATGGTTTTATTATTTCTCCGCGATCAACAAGGCAAAAACAGAAATTTTAATTGTAAACGATTTAAGTAATCGATACAGTAGCAATTTAAAGTTTCTCATATTTCATTCATTAGAAACATACCAACAATGCTAAAGAATCAAAATATTAATGTTACTTTTAGGGCAATTAACAGACTAGATAAAGTCAACAATAACAATATATTAGGTTTTTATATATTCAGTTGCGCTTCCTGTAATAAATGTTATATAGGACAAGCAAGTAGAGCTTTTAATACTAGAATAAATTAGCGTTTTAAATGCTTTACAATGAAAAAACAAAATATTATATATTTGCTAGAAACGAACTACTGCGTCAGATAGATTTTCGAAGAACGCTTCGTGGTTTAGAAAGAAAGGCAATTTAAATTCTCTTGAAATTTTAGAAATAAAAAAAATAAGGAACTATAATGCGTCAGAATTACTGTATAGAATTAAATAGTTCACTTCAAGTTTCACTTCTCCTTTTGGGTTTAAATTTTATATACAGGTTAGCGTTTCTGTAAATCGTTCAGTGCAAAACTTTGCGACATATTTTTATACTTTATTCACTAGCAAACGTTTGAAATATACATATGAAGACAAATCGGTACTTACCCTGATGGCGTCTGCCGCCAGCGGTCCACAACAATATCCGTCCTCATGATAGAGTTGCAAATACTGTTCTCGCAACCACAACAAACGTCGATCGCATAACGCTTGTTGTCTAGCTAAATCTTTTACTATCCAAGAAAGCCCGGTAAACCAAATTCTGGAACGAGAACAACAAAAAAAGAAGAATATTAGTAGTTGGCATAAGAAATGGGAACAACTGCTTACCTACACATTGAAGAAGGACATACAATGTATAAAATTCTATTATCGCTAAGGCCGTATCCGTAAAGAATTGTAAGAGCACATTGATTATCAGGCTCATGGTTGAGACCATACCGTCGACTAACGGCTGCTATTTCAGTGTCTTTTTCAGCATCTCTGCCTCCTAGATGGACCTCTTTTATTGCCATCAAGTCCAAAAAACTGGAACAAAATAAAATAACACTCATCTTCGTTGTTCTCTATCTGGTATCTTGTGTAACTAAAGTAAACGCTCTTCTAAAGGCAATCCAATTAGAAATCTCTAAAAAAAATTATCTCGATAATAAGTCTAAAGTGTATTTTCCTGATGCCAGTGGATGATTGCCTTTGCATTTGCCATGTGAAGATATATAGTGGCATTTCCTCGATTTGCTCATTTTTGTGTATTACTGGGTATCAAAGTAAAATATGATTTCTCATTTTAGATAATGGCGTATATTTACTACTCGGTAGACGACGTTTGTTGGCTAATCGCAGTAAGCTCGGATAAATAGCTCATTGCAAAGTTTCATTTAGTTTATGGTTTTTGCGAATGCCACATATTCCTCGAAACAGAGATTACTAATTTACCCTTGATTTACAACAATTTGCCGTTATGAAATTTGTAAACCAGAACAATTCTGTCACTTGTCTTGAAGGCAGCGATACGAACGAATTTAGTTACATATATAAGTGTACCGACACTAATTAGATATGTGTAGTTCTAAAAGATCTTCAAATGAAAATGAAAAATTGTTGGAGTAAATTCCTTCAGAATGACAGGATAGAAATGAGGAGGTGTTAGAAAGAGTTAGAAAACAGGGGGGCACTATTTGAAGTCAGTTAGAATTAGACGAGATGGTTTGATCACAGTATAATAAAGGTTCTATACAATAGGTTCACTTCCCAGCCACGCCCATACATCCCTCTCCTACCGACGCTTCATCATTTGGCTTGTACAGGGTGTCTTCGTGAAGCTACAGTACAAATACATTTCGCATCTAAAGCTATTGAACCGTCCTCGTATATGACAGTTCAGCGCATATCATCATCACAAGGTCGTCAGTTCTAACACTGGTTGGGTACGCACCTCCACTCCTTCCTACCCTGAGATAATCTTCGCATTTCCCTAAAACTAGAACATCCCACATCCTTAACTATTTGTGAACAGTAATCTAATCTAGGTCTACCTTTACTACTCCTAACTCCTATTTCTGCCGCAAATATGTCTCTGACTAGACCTTCATTCCTGAGAAGGTGTCCTACTAACCTCTATAACTGCCTGTTGCTCTTTATAAAAACTAGGTATCACTCTTCTACCTCTGTAACTCACCCTTACATTTTTTAGTGTATTTAACTTCTTGTTCCATTTAACATTGTCAAAAGCCTTTTTCCTGTATATGCACTCATTATTTTTTCTATCGTTTTCTCTGTTATTACTCGTAATGCTAGAATGGCCTAACGCGTTTCTCTATTTCTTCTAAATCCAAATTGATCGTCTCCTAATAGTTGCTCCGCCCTTTTTTCAATTTTCCTCTGTAAAATTCTAGTTAAGATTGTTCAGCGTACATGAATATAATTTATGATGACCTGTAAAAACTGTAGGTATTTAGACAGGTCAAAGGAGTGAACCTACTGTATAGAATCCTTACCCCAGAACCGGCCAAGCTTCGACTTCCCAGGAGCGACTATATTGCAGGTATGTAACAGAGACAAATATAGAAACGAGCGATACTTGTCTCTCTTCCTCCTTCTGATTATGGTTATGGAGAAAGAGAGACATGTTTTTGCATACCTCTCTCGCTTGCTCTTGTAGGAGCATCTAGGAGCGTTAGGAGCGGAGTTTGGCCTGCTCTGTGGTTTGGCAGCACACCTTCTCAGATACGAGAGGTCAGCTAGGGATATATTAAAAATTTGAAAAAAGAGTTAAGGAGGGGCACAGGTAGTTAATATTTTTAAAGGTATCTAGTAAAATAAAAACGTAATGAAAAAAAAAATTGAATTGCTCTGAGTTCCTATTCACTTTATGAATTTTTTACGCNTAAAGGTAGCAGTAGCAATAAAAATAATGTAATAATAGCGGGACTTGGTGGTAGCTTTCCACTGACCACAAATGATTCAAATGATGGAAACAATGGAACAACAGGAGGACCTGGTGCTAGCTTTCCACCGACCTCAAATGGTATAAATAATGGAAGCAGTGGAATCACACGAAGATTTGGTGGTAGCGTTCCGCGTAATTCTAGCCAATAATTTGAAATATCTGAAAATAATTTCGAATGATATTTTTAAACAGTACATTGATTGATAGCAAATACTTTAGCAAAATTGTAAAAAAGCAAACTAAGCTTTGATTTTTTGAGTAAACGTAGTCGAAATTACTGTACATTTACTGGAGCTTACCACCTTGTATATAATTTATTTATAATAATAACTTGCTTTTTTAATTTTATACACACCTGTGCAAGTTTTCAATTTTTAAAATCAACAAAGTTTGCAATAAAAATAGCCTATGGGGCAACGTAATAAAGGAATGTTATAAAGTTTTGGCATTTTTCTACTATTTCTTCTGAGTGACTATTAGCCAATTTCGACGAACTAACATGAAATGTACTAAAAGGTATTACAATACAATCTTTTCTGGTAAAACAGTTCTTTTCAGCAGTTATTAGAATTGCATTATTCATTGTAGTAACTATGAAGTGGAGATAAACTTATTACGTAACATTAATTCTCGAAATAAGAATGGAAAATTTGCTTTCTGATCAATTTGGATTGGCACGCACGTAGCTCCATTCTACTACCTTTATGATCAAGCACTTGAATCTTATCATGGATACTAATGTCAAACAGTGGAATGGAAAATGATATCCACTCAAACTGTTAAAAACAAAACACTTATCCCACTTTTACTGGAATAGTCTAATATTTTAATAGATCATTAAGAAGGAAAACCTATGCAAAATCAACTTCTTAATTAGAAAGTACGTATTTATGCAGGTTACTAAAAGTGCCCTTAGATGCGGCTAATTAAAATGTACTTGTCAAAAAACGTCATATCAAATAGAGATATAAACATAGGCATTCTCAAATACCCCAGCGTGCCTGATTTCATACGTCCTTATACAATACTAGACGAATTTGTTAAAGCTTTCGAGCGAATCGATCAAAGGTTGCGTCGAGGACGAACGGCTATCCGAAAAATGACGACCGCGTACGGAAAAAATGTTGCAGGTTCAGGCATGATGCCGTGTCTGCATGTCCTAATGAATTTATTGTGAATATTAAAACAATTTACTTATTATAAAATAATCGGTGCGATTATGTTTTGTTATTTCGGACGTTAGTTTGAGTGTTAATTGACAACTGAACAATTGAAACAATGAAGTGAACATTGAAGATAAAAAGCTGGCTTATTTTGACGAGATTCATAATAATTAATGCATGGTAGGTAACTGATAATGTTTAAATATTTTAATCCTGTACGTGCATATTTTTGCTATTATAGTGTACCAGCCTACTCCTACTTTAATATAGGTAGTTTGCTTTCAAATATTATTAGTTTTAAGTAACCATGATCAAGTAGTTGCTTCACACGGAGGAGTAATTAAATATTGGAGTATAATAGCCGGAAATACATGTACGATAAATCAAATTAAAGGTGTCGGCGTTCTATGCTTATTATTAAAAAGTGCGGAACGATTGGTTACACGTCTTACGCGTATGTGACTAAAACTTTCGCCATAAAAAAAACTTGCGTGAATTTTAGTGAAATTTTTATGCGAAAAAGTTGGAATTCGTGGCGTAAGTGGTATAAAATGCAGACGTTTTTGTCTGTATGAAAGTTTGAAAAGGTCATAGGATTTTTGAAGCAAATAGTTATCTATAATTTGTAACCTTCACAAAGGGTTTATGTTTTTAATATTTCTATGACAATCTAACAATTTCATCTTTTGACTATTAGGTGTCAAGAAATATTTTTAAATCGTTCTCCCTTTCTGGCTTTAGCTACTACACTGTTTCTTCTACGACATATAGATACTAAAAGCTTCCTTTGATTCTTTCTCTAAAAATATATTTTTCTCTGATCAATTGAATTCGCAGTTGAGACGATATTGGATGAAAGAAAATCCACGTAAAGTGCTCGCTTCCATACTAATCTTCCGGAATATCTTAAAATTCGCTGAGGTACCACTAAACATTTCTTTTCATAGCTCCGGTTCATGAGAGATTATTTTTATATGAAAGTTGATCATATACGTTAATACTTTTTCTTTTACGTTAGTGTAATTTATATGTCTGTAGGCGTTATTGCTTTTTTCTGTTCTCTCTCTATTTATGGTCTTTGTCTTGAAATAGAGAAGTGGTTGGTATACTTCATTTAGTTTCTCTAGCGATGTGACCTTTAGTTTGACCGGCGCAAAGTAGAAAAGAACAGCACTAGGCCAGAAAAGGAAGGAGACAACTCTCGGCCAAACTCTTAACCGGTGAGGAGCGTACAATCCGTACAGTACTGCACGGAAAAATTGACCACTTTATCCACTACAATTGCATTGCTCAAATATGCTGTTATTGGTACTAATTACTACTGAAAATATCAACGAGACGTTTATTTATATTTGAAGAGATATTAAAGGGTTTAACGCTTGTTTTCGACTCGCAGTACTATCTATGAATAAAGAAAACTTTTGGTAGGTACTGTATGAAAAAGTATATTTAATGAACAACAGTCGAGAGTATAATGAGCTTTTTTCTCCTTACCTACGATTTTGCCAGCGCGCATCTAAGACATTGGAAGGGGTACATCGCTAGAGAAAGTAAACGAAGTATATTAATACCAAAAACGAAAATCTGTAGTAGGGATGTATTGGATAGTGATTTTGCTGGGTACTGACACAGCTAATGCGGAGTACCCAGGAAAACGAGATTATGTTTAATGGTTCATGTCTATTTTCATTAAATAGCATCCTCACCAACGCCCTTAAGCACATTATGTCTCGTTCAAAAATTTGTTAACTTAACCAATGAAATTTTAATTCTTGGTTAACGGATTTTCAATGAGAAGGTTGAGTTAAACCCTTGAAACTAGCTTATAATGTTTTTAAACAGTAAAAGTCTGCAATGCGTTAATTCATACTAATGTTATCGTCAATCAAAATCTGATATACCATCAAGCGACAAAA